TGCATATCTATTATTTCATTAACAAGGCATCATTTAAACAATCTGATCGAGAGAGACAAGGGAATATAAATTACTTTTTAGAATAGGGCAATATTGCTTGTGAGTGAACCAGTGAAGTCGTTGGCATAAAACGTCGCAATAAGCCACCTCGCGACACCTTGGGCATCGTTTTACAACAACTTTACTGCCACCGCCAGCCCCAGCGCCACAGGTAGCACATGGCTCAGTGTCTAATGCGTCAGATTCTTTACCAGCACGACTACATCCACTAGAGTTTGCAAAAGGTGAAAGTCCATTAATGCTACTAAAAAGCAGAGAAAGTGCAGTTGGACTGCTACCAACAGATGTCTCTGAGACGCGACGGACAGTAGCCTGCCACATATTTGATTCTCGGAAGGGGAAAGAAGTTAATGCTTGTCTAAGAAAGCGTTCTTGACCTGCAGTGGAAAAAATACCAGATGAATAATTCAATGAAAAGTCGACTTGAATAATAAAACGTGGATGTGATGTATGAAGCTAAAATAATGCCGAACAAATAAGAAGTTATCTTAAAACAGAATTAAATGGGATTACGAATGAAACAAAAATCATAGCCACCTCAGGAAAAAAGAAATAAAAATGGAATTAAGGCCAAAATGGGAAATCGATACGGAAAATAGTCCGAACACCAAATTAAAATAACCAATTTAACCCAAGATTAAAAAAACTAGATGTAATAACAATTAAAGTTGAGTAAAGAGATCAATCTAGAAAATAGTTGGGGCTATTGAGGATTACCAGAAAATAATCTTTTTTCAAAAAAATGCAGCAAACGATAAGAAAACGAAATAGAATTAAATGTGGTTTGACCACGTTTTCTCAACTTAGTCGTGCTATAAGGGTGACGTAGTTAAACGCACCTTGTCCGAGGCCTCTCGTACAGTATTTTTCGCATTTAAGTAGAGTTTCGAGACTACCAGTAAATCAGTAATATAAGATGTATTCACATAATTTCGTTTAATGTGATGAAGGACTGGTAGTAGAATTTTCCCACAATGATATGAGTAGAGCTGACGTTTCC